GAAAAGGAAATTGAAACCGTCACAACGTTGCTTTCCATGGCATTACAAACAGCATACATGTTTTACCTCCCTAAATAAAATGGCACGCAAGTATACATTTTAACGGACCGAATTTAGAATAGTGGGCTTGATGTTACGGCCTACTCTCTCTTCGTCTCCGTCTACAATTAGGGAACGGACTCGACGACGGAGAGCGAACGGAAAAGTAACTAACTGATAACTGATCCAGCCACAGCGAGAGAGCGAATGGTGGTTGAGGATACTTCAGTATCGTCGGCGATTACGGCGGAAGAGAATCTCGATCCTAGTACCACGACGAATCCTCGCCGTAAAGAGAAGGATCTTCCGGCGATTGGGGCTAACTTCGGCGACGAAGAAGGTCCGTCGAAGGAGAAGAAGATCCTTTGCGATGACAATGTTTCGAAGAAATCAACCACATTGGTTCAGCATTCGCACTCTTTACAGAATTGTTGGACGTTTTGGTTCGATAATCCTCATTCGAAATCGAATCAAGCGACATGGGGAAGCTCTTTGAGATCCTTGTATACATTCGCTACTATCGAAGAGTTTTGGAGGTTAGATTTTGAAGATCTTTCTTGTTTTCAGTTTCTTTGATTTGAGAGCAAATCGAAATTGAAATCCTTCCGAGGTAGAATATAGCCCCATGATTTGGTATATATGCCCAATTTTCTCTTTGCCTTGATCTTGAATTTACAACGACATAACCGTTGCAATAATTTGTACTGGAGAATGCTAATGTTGTATCTGTGCAGTGACTGTAATCGTATAGTCTTTACTGGAGAATGCTTATGATTGTTTCCATCTATGACAGAGTTAACGTTTTGGGTTTTGTGTTATGATAAGTTTAAAGCTTGTTAACTACTTTATCGTAAATTCGCAACGATAGAACTGTTGATTCTGTGATTTCTTCAAGTTTTGTGTTGGAGAATGCGTATTTGTGCATTAACTGTAATTCTTTAGGAGTAAACATCAGAAGCTAGTTTGGTTTTTGTGCGTCTGCATTATAGTCTTACGGTATTCGAGTATCTCTCATGGATAAGTTCATTAAAGTGCGTCTTGTTAACTACTTGATGCAGTCTTTATAACAACATGCATCCTCCAACCAAGTGGACTCCAGGGGCGGATCTCTACTGCTTCAAACATCAAACTGAACCGAAATGGGAAGATCCTATTTGTGCTGATGGAGGAAAATGGACTGTGATGTTCCCTAAGGCTAAACTGGATTCCAGTTGGCTTAACACGGTATTCTAACTTTCATAAAACAGAGTCGAGATTCTTGTAACACAAGAATAGTGAAAAAGATTGTCGGTATTATCTAAGAAATGGTGTGTGTCGCAATGGAAGTGGTTGCCGTTTTAATCATCCACTGGTTAGAAAGAAATTTTATCTTATTTGGCTTGAGTCTAAGTTGCAATTTCCTCATGGCTTTACTTACTACTTTTAAACATCTTATATAGAAGCATCCGGTGAGGATTGGTCCGCCTAATTGCAAGGTGCACTTCTTGGATTATCTCAAATCTGATTAATTCGATCAATTTGTTGTAGAACGAGTGCATTATACTTAAGCGTGATGCATTCGACTTAAGCTTACTGTCCATCTAGCAAAAGTAACACAACTTATTATAGTTTTAACTTCATTTAAGAGGCAAGGATATGTCTCTTGTATATGCAGTTTTTTCCGAAAGGAACTTGTAAGAACGGGTCAGCTTGTAGATTTCGTCACTCAATGGACAGGGATGGTGCAGAACCTGCGTTGTTCAATGTTCCCGGTTTAACTATGCATCAGGTAATTTCATCGCGGTTTTTATATTATTCTTATGATAAGAATCTTATCATCCATTTCGTCAAAATGTGAAAGACTTAAACTGAGTTTCTTCTCGGTTGTCCATATTAGTTTGGTTTGAACGTTTTCTTTTAATTTTGATTCTCAGGCTAGAAGTTCGGATCGTAGAGCGAGTGAATCCAATTGGAGATTTGACGAGAGGAGACACGAATCCGGGTCAAGTTCCAGGCCGGAGAAGAGGGTAACTAACCTAAAATGTGACCTTCTTTATGTTTTACAGTTTACAGTTTACTTATAGGATGTGATGTATGTTCTTTCTCAGGCACGGACTATACCGGATTCTCGAGAGCATGATCCAAGAGAAAGTTTCGAAGATATAAGTCTAATACGCGATGAAAAAGTGGCGGGATTCAAGCGAGCGAGGCTGGTAAATATATTGAATAAGACCTGAACTTTGTTCTTATGATCCTGAGTACTTGACTTAGCTTAAAAAAAAACATGGTAAGAGATTCCATAGAACGGTAGCGTTTAATGCTCAAAGAGAATCTGCAGGAACAAGGACATGGAAATATAGAGTGGCAGAGAAGAGAGGGTCAAGAGAATGTGCAGGAACAGAGACAACAGAGAGAAAACATTGAGTGGCAGATAAGAGAGGTTGATGAGAGTTTCGACGAACGAAGATGGAGGGTAAAGAAACTAAAACAAGATTCACTTATTTTGTTAATACGATGAAACAGAGTCATGCCTTACTCTGTGTTTTGTTACTGTGAATGTCTCATATGATTCACTTATTTGCAGGAGAGGCATCCTCATGATCGACAAATTATAGAGGAACAGAGGCTGAGAGATATCGATACGCGGAGGAAGGAGGCTCGTTCGAGAATTGAACAGGTGTTGATTTTGAATTGAATCACCAACATTTTTCTATCAATTCGGTTTTCGAAATCTGACTAGAATATTTTCTCATGTGGGGTTTTTCTTCAGATGAAACGCACTGTTCAATTTAACTAATTGAATCCAGACGAAATGTTGCAAGAATTGCAATATAAAGACGATATGGAGAAACAAAGATTGAGGGTAAGGAAACTGAACCTGGTTATGTTCTCTACTAGTGAATGATTTTAAAGATAGTAGTAATTGCAAGTAGAAAAGAGAAGAGAACCACGAAAGTTGTCATCTGATTTACTTAATTTTCAG